AAAATACCTAAGGGAAGTCGACACAAATGGAGATTGGCCGGAAATTGTAATTACAGTCAACCTCGACGCCGGAAAATTTTGGGGATTTAAGAGAATTTCAGAGTGCAAGTGTGCGAAAATCCTGAAAAATGGGATTTCATCACCTTTTATAGGAGTCCAGGATGAACCCCGGCCGTTAGATCAAATCTCACTCAATTTGAGCCCTCAATTTCAGACCCAATCCGAGGCGTTGAATTCAAAGGATTTTTCAATTATGCGCCTCAGATTCATGCATGCTTCTCACTCACCTCTTCAGCGCATCTGCTTCTAGAAGCGCCAGCCGCCCTCATAATTGCGTTTTTAATACGACGGCAGCAGACGCCTTGGAAGTCGTAACGGTTCAGCCATTTTTCCTCGAAAACAAGCACAAGACATCAAATCATTGGCTCAGCTATCAAAGTACAATAATTACCATTGGACCTCGGCTCCCTCTTCCTCATTCAGCAACAAAGCCTCGCAGGTTCGGTTACTAAACCACCTCGGCTCCCTCCTCCTCATTCAGCAACAAAGCCTCGCAGGTTCGGTTCCTCATCCACCTCGGCTCTCCTCATCCTCATTCAGCAACGAAGCCTCGCAGGTTTGGTTCCTCAACCACTTCGACTTCCTCTTCAAAAGTTCAACTGTAACAATCCAATTTTTTTAAAGGGTTAAATCACTACCAAAATTTTCACTTGAATTTAGACAACTTGGAATGCCATTATATATAATTAGGAAAATGTAATTTACTCAAATTTGTAAAAAGAAGTAAATATTAGTTTATATATATTTTAGGAAAAATATATATATATATATTCTTGTTTCTTCGCCATATCCTTCGACGTGTACATAAAAATAGCATATAAAATTTATCTGTTCTTAAAGAATTCGATATAAAATCCCTTATTAACGTGTGAAAAAATTTTCCATTTGACTGCACCCATACACATGTAGTAATGAATGCCATCTATATACATGTATATTATATTATTTATAGTACAAAACCAATTCCCAATTCAAAGCATACTAAACTTTCTCTTTCCTCTATACGTGGATCACACCCCAAGTTGTGAGAAAACAGCCAACAATTTGCCTTATTTTATTAAAAGAAAAACTTCCCACCCTACATTGCCAAGCTATGGAATAGCCTGTTAACAATTAATACGTTAAATACGTGTTCAGTAAAATTGGTGGGTAAAATAATATTTAACTCAAACGAAAACTGCATCTGGGGAATTCAACTATTGAAAAGCAGATTCGATTTCAGAAAATTTTGATAAAATAATTAAATAAATGGATTCGATCATATGACTAATTTTCACTACACTCTGCAGTAAATTCACACATGCACAAGTTTAATTCTATCCTATGCAATTAATCCTAAGTACAATTTTTGCTCCCATTAATATAAAATAACACTAAAGGAAAATCAGATAATTTGATACGAACTTTTAACCAAAAACTCAATTTTAAAACCTCCATGTCAAATAAACATAAACGATAAATCAGTTTTAAA